AATCCAAAAACCAGATTAGACATATATAAAATAAGATTAAATAAAAGGTATTTTTTAAATTATTTTAATTACAATGTTTAAACACAAATAGTATTTTAGAATTGTATTTTGTTTGATTTTGCACAAAAAAAATTTTTTTTTAGGTGTTTTAAGATTTTGACGCGCACTGTATTTCTATAGGAGAGGATTAAGTTCACTGACCCTTTTTCAGAGGGACATTTTCACATAATCCAAAATTCTATATTTAAATTATGAACGGAAACATTTGCTAAAATTAATAATCATTGATAAATATTATTTTTAATACGATAATTTGTAATATTTATGTTTGTAAAAACTATACATTAAAAATGTTTTTAAAATTTTTTTAAAGAAAATAATTTTAGGCCTTATGATCAAATGAAAAATTTTAAATTGCTATGAAAGAAAACTAATAGATTATTATTATATATCAAGCACAGTTTTGCCAAATAAGTATTTTTTTGGAAGAATTTAGATTGCAGTCACAAATTTATATTACATTAAAAGAAAAATCTAAATCCACTGCAAAAACAGGTAGAAAACCGACACTATCCTTAAAAGTTATAACAAAAATTTAGAAAATGATAACAAACAAAATTATTTTCGCAAAAAAAATCAAATTTAAATCAGATCTAAATGTTTTCAAATTTACATTACATTATTGCGGGTAATAAAAAATAAAAAAAATATAGTTTTAAGAAAATGAATCAAAGATCGTAATTAACAGAATCCTATAATTTTAAATGATTCTTTTGACAGATAATTGTTATAAAGTAATTTTCTTAGATGAAAAAAAATAATTTTAGATAGGCCTGATGATTTTAAATACTATTGGCGTCATTGAGATTATGAGAATCTCTCTTGCAGCAAAAGAGTCTAAGGCGGTGGTGACTTTATGATTTGGGCCAGTTTTTGTTCCAATAAGTAATTAATAATTCAAATAATAATTAATAAAATGATTATTTAATTGCATTGTATATTGCTCAAAACACCTTTAAAAGCTTTTGTTGAAGAAAAAAATTGGAAATACAGTAGGAAAAAAAAGAATATTTGAATAGTATAGTAATCATACACTTTATAGCTGCATCATTTAATTTTTTTACTTTTATAGGAAATTTAAAATATACTGAAAGAAATTTACAATGTTTTTTAAAACTTTTTTGGTATTAACAGAAAATTTTTTACTTTAGGTGGCAAAAAAAGGGATATTTTTTTTGGCGGGAAAATTTTATTTAAAACTATAGAAACTTTATTTTTATTCCTTATGATACAAAAATCATCTTTGAATGAAAAGTCCGATATTAAGGCTTTCTTAGAAATTGGCTGGAAACAAAAAGAAATTGCAAAAAAGTTTTTGATAAGCCAATCGAAAGTTTCCAAACTAAAGAAAAAAAATTAATGAAACAGGACAATTGGAAAGAAAATCGGATTCTAGTAGGGCTTCATTACTTAATAGTAATGATATATCTTATTCAAAAAAAAATAAATGCGGATCCACAAATTGGAAGTATTAAGCTTGCTGTAGAACTTAAGAAAATAGTTAAAAAAACATATATCTTCGATGTATACGAAATAATTTGTGTAAAATAGGATTACATAAATGGTAGGATTGCATGTAAATTACCTTTTTGTCTAAAAAGCATATCATGGTAAGAAAACAATGGGCAAGTAAACATGCTTGCTACTTTGATAAGAGATGGAATCAGGTTATTTTTAATAATGAAACAAAAATAAACTTGTTTGACTCTATGAAAGAGTTTATGTGCGAAGAAAAGTTGGTCAAAGATATAATAAAAAAAATTTAAAATCCACAGTAAAACATGGTGGTGGTAATATCATGGTTTAGGCATGTTTTTCGAGTGCAGGTGTTGGAAATATATGTATAATTGACGGTATAATGAAAAGCGAAGTATATTGTAGAATTATAGATACACATTTTATGTCTTCTGTAGAAAAATTTAAATTAAAAAATTATATCTTGCAGCAAGATAATGATTCCAAACATACGAGTAAATGCACTAGAGATTATTTGTCAGCTAAATAAGTTTTGACATTAGATTGGGCTGCACAATCATCAGATATGAATCCTGTAGAAAATTTATGGCATGTTCTTAAGGTAGAAGTAGGGAAAAGGAAACCAAAAAATATTAATGAATTAAAGAAATGTGTTGAAAAGGAATGGAATAAGATAGATGTAGATGTGTGTAAAAAGTTGGTAAAGAACATGAACAGTAGATGCAATAAATTATTAAGGGTGAAAGATGGAAATACTAAATTCTAAATAAAAATTTTTTTTTTTGCCACATTATTTTTTATTTAACTAATTAAAGCATTGTGTTAGTGTAATAAATAAATTAAACTACTTAAGCAGTTATAAATGTTTGTAACTTCTTTTAAAATGGCAACAACCTTTTATAATATATAATTTTTAATTACAAAATTAAATATTCCTTTTTTTGCCACTACTGTAAAGTACATTCCCTTAACTTTTAAAATTTGCAATGCTCGCTTTAAAAACTTTCTGAGTATTTTTGGCATCTTTCTAAACTAATACTGTTCCATTCAGCTTGTATTACAGTTTTAAATTCATTAAAATTTTTAGGTTTTAGAATAGATATTTTGGTTTTAACAATCCCTCATAGATTCAGATTCTCTATAGGATTTAAATCAAGGGATTGAGCAGGCCATGGTATAACTCGACAGCCTTTGCTGCAAACCACTGCTTTATCATATTTGCAGTACGTTTTGGATCGTTGCCTTGCTGGAAATTGTACTCTGGAAGACCCATCGTTTCTGCAGAAGCATCTAAGTCATCAGTAGGAATCCTAATGTATTTAATTACATTAATTTTTTTTTCAATGAATATTAGTTTTTTTACTCCATAGTAAGAAAAACAGATCCATACCATTATAGGCCCCGCCATATTTAATGTTGGACATAAATTTTTTTGTAAAAGTCTCGTATTTGGTTTTCTTCTAATTGAAATCTTACCACCAGAATAGACTAGATTAAACTTACTCTCATCACTAAAAATTATCCTCTTTCTATTTTCTTTTTTGAGCGCTAGCCATTTAAATGAACAATCATTCCACTTAAAATATGCCTTTTCTGTAATAGAGGCTTCTTTACAAATGCATATGCATAGATACCGTTCTTATTAAGACAAAATCTTATTGTGTCTTTATTAACACTAATATTATCTACAGTTTTCATTTCTATACCAAGCTTTCTCAATGAAATTTTTGGATTTTTATTAATTTTTTTCATAATCCTATTTTTAATGACACCAAAGCATTTCTTAGGCTTTAAATGCCACCCACGTGTTTTATTATGCCTTTCTGTTTATATTTTTTTTGAATCCTGCTTATAGTGGACTGGTTAACATAAAATTTTGATGCAATTTTCTTTTGGTAAAACCCATTTTGTAAAAGGCTCAAAATTTGCCTAACCTCGATTTCGGACAATTGCTTCATTGAAAGCATAACAAAAGTTTGTTTAAAAGAAAATCAGAGGGATGTTATTTCAGTTTTGGCGACAAAAATAAAATATACGTTTTTTTAAAAAAAATAAATTAAAAATAGGTATTTATAGCTATTTAATACTTTGAAAATCAAATGTAAATCAATATAAAATCTATATTTACGATTTTAATTAAAGAAATTACATTTGTAAATCATAAAAATGAATAAAATATACATCTAATTAGTATGCGTTTTTTAAGACAAACTATAGATGTCAAAAGTGTTTCTAAGAAAACCGATGTCTTCAAAAACAAAGATGACATAATCAAAAGAATAGTAAAAAAGCATTTGAATGCAATCTCTGCTATAATAGCTGGTAAAAGAAAAGCTTCTAAGACCGGCTTAAGCTTTACCAAGTACATGGTGATTGTTGAAATTTGTCAAACACATTTTTTAGCCGAAGGGTTACTTTGGTTTAAACGCAAAAATGATCTCAACAAACAATAAAAAACAAACTTTAATAGATTTAGCACTATGAAAGTAGAAAATAATATAAAGGATTTTTTTCCTTAAAAAAGGGATAAGTAGTGTCACTTGACAAACAAAAATCTTCTAAAAAGGAGAATAAAAAAATTAAAAGTATTTATTTAAAGAAAAATTTTAATTCCTATTATGGCTGAAAAGAAGATCAAAGAAAACTCTTTAAAGAAGAAAGCCTTAGTTCGACTTCAGAAGAACTGAGCAAAAGGGCTTAATAAGGAAGCTCTTGTAAAACTAATTAAGGAAAGCAGAATTTATCAGAATGTAAGTTTAGATTTGTTTTTATGTACGGATTAGATATTAAAAGGTAGAGCCAATCTAGAAACACATGGACTACTTTTATGGAGATCACAAAAAAGGATCTCCCTCTTTTAAAAAGATCGGATGATTCAGATGTGTATATTCTGATGATCAGAATAAATGTTTGTCAGTAGGCATTAGAAAAATTTAATGAAAGTGGAAGTGTGTAGTGAAGAGGGAGCTTTTACAAATTTTATTTCTTTCAATAAAAAAATTGTTTTAGATGAGCTACTGAGACTCTCGAAAGCTCAAAAAAAATTTGTACTTTTGGTTAATACTTGCAGATATATCAAAAAAGAATTAAATAAAGATAGGTTAAATTATGGTGCTTTTTATATTTAGGAAAGATGATGGATGAGCATGCCTGAAAAAAATAAAGATTCCAGTAATGAATAAGTTTCTGTTTTAAAGTCCTGTTTTTATAGGAACTTGTTATCTTATAAAAAGAAAAATATTTTTATTTATTAAAAAAGAAAAAAATTGTTCTATTTAGATAAATGAACTCTATAATACTGTTAGACGTCAAACCAGACTTAATTGTCTTAGAACTCTATCTACTAGTAGAAGAAAAACAATGCTAAAAGTACAAGAAAATTTTTGTATTTTCAGAATACAAGGAAGACTTTTTAGAGATAAAGACCTCTTGAAAATACTAATAAAGAAGGAGCCTTTAGTTAAAGGAAAGATTCTTTTTTTAAAAAAACGTAGACAGAAGGACACACCGTTTACGAAGATTACAGTTACTAAACTACAAAGAAAAATGTTATTAAATACTGTTAAAAGCCGTAGTTTTAAAGTATTTTACAACAAGAGAAATAAATTAGGTATACCTAATCATGACATTAAAGAGACGAAAGAGAAAATAAAACTCTTAAGTCTCGATATCAACCATCTCTCTAACAAGAGAGAAGAGCTTGAGGTTCTCTTGAAGAAGGGGAAAATAAAAATTATGTGCCTACAGGAAACTTAGAGAACCTTCATCTTTCCTCTTAAGCTAGAAAAATATACTGCTGTGGAAACTTCTAGCAGTAGAAAAAAAAAACCAGGATTAATTACTTTGGTTAGAAAAAATGGAGCTATTAGATGCTCTAAGAAAGGGACCAACTCAAACATACTGCAAACTGTGGTTGGTTTGGGTCAGTAGGAAAGTGGGTTAAGTACTTAATCATCAATGTCTACATATCACAAGACAGGGACCTCAAGAGAGAGGTTCTTGCCAGACTATTATCCCTTCTTTATGAAGAGAAATTAAAAAATCACTATAAATA